TTTTCAGTTATAAGCGTTTCCGTTTTCTGCTTCGAGTCATTAGATTTGATAATCTGCTCACTAGAGATAAGGGAAAAGAAACCGACAAACTTGCTCCGATTCGTGATTTTCATGAAGAGTTTGTTAGTAATTGCATAATTAATTTTCATATTAGTGAATATGTAACAATTGGTGAGATGCTCCATGAGTATACTGACGTCCTAAGAACAGATGCCTTATCTACAAAAAATCAGTTTTTGAGATTTTTTTCTTATTGGATTCGTGGCAGGCTAATTTACCTTTCTACCAAGCAAAAATGCCGTATAATTTTTCGGTACATTCAAAACTTAATATTTTATTTAGCCGTATGTGAAAAAATAGATGTATGTACTAGTAAAATATGCCGTATGTGTGTAGTACTAAGCATAAAAGGCGTATTGTAACGGGATAAATCAACACCATCGGAATATCATCAACTCTATCATAATATGTTTTATTCACAACAAACATACATTGCTGATGCTGTAATTCAAATTGTTAATAACACGATATCCCCCATTGTTCTGTCACGACAATATTCTACTGCACTGGATAAAGGTCACAAGCACAGTGATTTGAGATTGAATTAATGAAATTATCGATGGATATGGTCTTTCGGTCAGTTAATCTCAGAATCTGCTTAGCCATCAGCCGACAAAAATCATTTGGGCTCGCTCTCTCTCCATCTCGAGAGTGGACCGTCTGAAAAAAATGAAAAGTTATAATGTAGGTTTGTTTGGGCTGAAAGAAAAGTGTTCAGGAAATATTTTCTCATTCTAGTTGCAGACCAATATGAACGTTACTCACCTGTTAGCTGATGATTGTCCAGTTGTGGTCCGATTCCATCGCTTTTTCGATTGTTTACTTCCGTCTCCATCTTTGTTGACTGTTGACTGAGAATAGAATTCCGTTACAGATTGGATCTCAGTCGTGATCTTCAATTAGCTGTCATGTCCAGATCACGAGAAGGTAACTCCCGTTGTTGATAGAGGGCGTGAAAATTCTCAGTTTTATTTATTGTGGGAATTTTTCCAGGAAAGTCTTGTTGGGAAGCAATTGTTCGAAACGTTATCGGGATAATTTGTCAGAATTAGAAATGTAGTTGAGTAATTGTTGAATGATATAAATTAGACAAGATTTCCCTATTAGGACCATCTGTTGACCAGTTTCCTAGGTCTAAGTTAATACGTCTGTTCAGCAGATTCATTTTAGTAAACTGCTAAGTCACCAGTGGAGAAACTCCACCCACTTGTTTCGAACGAGAAACTAATATTTTCCAATTTGTGGAAATATTTATCAATTGTTTGTGGTAATATCATTAAATTATTGTTTTTCCAACTTTCGAGTACTCCGTCAAGGTCGATTCTCAATTTATGTCATTGATGTTGGAAAGTATCGGAAATCAAGCATCGTCAACGCTAAAGGTGATTGGTTCGCTTAAGTCTGCTCATGGCGAATGGACCTGCGTTCCAAAATTTGAACTTTTTAAAGTAGGCTTCAAGGGAACAATTCCCCACCCGATGTTTCCGGCTTCCTCAAATCGGAAGGTAGGGCGATCGACCTGCCATGATCAGGATTTCTCATGTCAATTTGTCTGATCCATTTTCGACTCTAAAAAGAAGTCTACTTATTTTTTTTCATCATTCCAGAAGAATTTATGGTCAGTATAGTTCCTATTATTCCTGGAGCCATTGGAAGTCTTGACCCGATTAGACCATTCGTAGATTAGAATTTTTTTTGTGGAACCCGGAAGAGACTCATCTCACCGGAACAATTTTTGATCGTGTCAGTGGAAAACACTTCTGAGCTCGAAGGTATGTCTTCTTGAATACTTTCACTTGTGTATATTGTATTGTCCATATTTTGTTTTTCTCGTGTCATATCACAACAGCTACCCTAAAGGGGCTGTTGTCAACGTTATTGTCCTTTTATTAGAAGTAATGTTCGATCGAACGTGATGAATCCTGATGGTGATCGAACACCGTTAA